CAACAGCAGCAACAGGGGCGGCGGTGTGCAGACAGATCATGAACGGCTTGCCGGAACAAAGTTCTTCTCCATCCTCTTGTGTTTTCTGGTAGCCTTTCTGCTGAACGTGCAGTCGGTGAGATATTATAGCCATGCAAGCGTTATGATAAACGTGCCGGAGAAGTGGGAGAGGGGGAGGAGAAGAAGGCCGGATTATGTGGCGAGTTTGCTTGACAGAGGGACTTACTGCTGGTCGCTGGGGCTCAGAGCTTGTTATTTCTCCTTTCCTCTGTTTTTGTGGATTTTTAGTGCGGTGGCTATGGTGGCTTGTTGTGTTGCAATGGTTGTGGTGTTGTATTTTCTTGATGTTTATATGGATTGGGGTGAAGGTGAGGAGGAGGAGGGGGTTGGTGGTGTTTGAATATATACTTCAAACTTTCTTATATCATACACAGTACTCATGATTATAAATTGTGCCCTAGAAGATTCATGGCAGTGTTCATTTTGCATGCACTTATAAAGGAGTGAAGATGCCAAAACTTTTATGTGAAATGATCTACTACAAAGTAAAATTATAATTTGTAAGTATTCTCCTCATTTGAATTGGGCAAGTATATAAAGTCATGCACTTAAATTTAGTCTCATGAAACCCAAGTAAAGTTATGTGTAGTGGAGGTAACCTCAAGTAATAATGGTCATGTAACGGTGGCTGAAATGATAGTTGAGCAATGATAATTGAGTAATGATCATGAAATGTTAAATGAGCTAGCGGTCATGTAACTGAAATGATAGTTGAGCAATGATAACTGAGTAATGATAAAAAAATGTTAAATGAGCTAGTTATGATAATCGAAAAATGATGATAACATGACAAATGTTAAGTATCAAGAATAAGATGATAATGATTGTTACGATGTTGATTATTAACGTCAAACTTCAATTAAAATTCAAAATTTTAAAATCTTCAAATTCTCTTTAAAACTCTATTATTGATTCATTTCTTATAAAAAAAATGTGGCACTATTTATATATATTTATAAAAAAAAAAACATTTTAGTGAATCAAACCGAAATTTAAAATAATTCATCAAATAGCTTATGTCGATTTATTGATTAAATAAAATAACTTAATCAACTTATAATTGAGTAGTCTATATTGTGATTATTAGATTTCTAGTGTCAAAGCATTCAATTTGATTGCAAGTATTAAGATTTGAAGATTGTTTAATCCAAAAAATTAATAACCCAAATTTTTCATCTAACTCAGTTTAATTTGGATCACTTAAGTGTGATCAGTAAACTCTTTTATTAAAACAATCAATTTGACTATAAATTAGTCTAAAATGAAAACTAAAAAGTTGTAGAATTAATTTTGAAAATTTTAAATTTAAAAAAAAAATATAAATATTCAAGTTTTATTGGATGAATCATTTACAGACATCTTAATAGCATTAGTTTCTAATACTCATGTAGCTAAAATAGCAAGAATACATATTATGTCTGACTGATAGGACTTGTTACAAAATTAGAGTTAAATGGACTTGCACACATTGGGTTCGTATATAGATCTATGAAATTTGATATAAATTATCATTGATTTAGATCCAAATGAAGGCTACATCATGGGCCACAAATCAGCTCCCTCACACCCAGCCAGTTCACAATAAAACATTTATTTGATTAATTAAAAACTATATTTATTTCAAAATAAATACCATATCTATAAAATTCATATTAATTTAAGTCAAAAAATTAAAACGTCTCCTCGGGTGGAGTTCCAGTGGAAAATATGCAATCAATTTACACTTTTTTATAGGGTTCGGTTCAGAAGCATATAAATTCATAAATACGGCAGCCTTGTTTAAAGTCAACTCCACCAATCCTACTAACAAACATTTAAGAGGGGGCTGTTTAAGGAGAATTTTATTCTAATCCATCTTAATCCGGTTTGCTAATCCTTCTGATATAGATTGAAATATTTAATTCTAATCCAATTCAATCTGAGCCAGACCCATCTGACCAGTTCATTACGTCAATCATATAATATCTTTGATTCAACAAGACAATCACTCGGCCCAGCATGCCTAAACTCAATAAAATCCAAGTTAATTTTAAATTAATCTGGTCAATACAAACCAAATTCAGATAATAATCATATTAATAAATTTCAATACAAAATTATCCAATCTAATTTAAAAAATAAAACATACCCCCCCTAAAAAAAAAACAAAAAAAAAAAAAAAAAAAAAAAAGCTGCACAAAACATTCCCTAGCGTTACAGACTTGTAATCTAAACCAAATTTAAGAAATCAAAATACAATTGCAAAGGATGAACACGACACAGCTGAACCTTAGAGATATAGATTGTATATATGAAAATAACTCACCCACAGGGCCTAAGCTCTAAATGCCCCCCAAAGAATAACAATTTTGCGGACCATTTTGTTGGATATCTCCTACTTTATTGTATCATCAACAGCACCATCTCTAAAACCTTCTCCTCAGACAATGCAAAAATCCAATGTAAAACATGAACAGTTTTTCAGAGTAGTGCGGCAAGCAGCGCACCCGGGTCATTTGAAACAGATGTCACAGCCGGCTCTAGTTGTAAAGGAGCTTGCGGCGGTGCCGGCACCGGTGACGGTGCTTGTGCTGGAGTTGTTGCCGGAATATTGATCATATACTCCTTGAGGATTTCCTTTAACCTGATTTGAAGCAAGCAGTGAAAATGGATGCCTTCCGTATTCAAAATGAGTTGTAAGATGAGCGAAACTTACTCGAATGTTAAAATAGGATCCCCGGATGCCACGGTTAGTCGTAGCTGAGTTCTGTCTGCAGGGTCGGTTTCAACTCTAATCTGAAGAACATCCATCACAACAAATTCACATTTTCTGCCATGCTGATTGAATCAATCAATTGTAATAACGCAACCCAACCAAAGCATATCCACATCATCATCATCTTTGTCATTGTCATCATCATTATAATCCTTATCCAAATAACTTTTGGGAAATTTACATACATGCCACACAATTCTTAGGTATTTAAAATTTCTAATACCCAAAGTTTAATATTTATACTTATAACACCTTGATGTCAAACAATCCAAACAACTTCCATTATCAACAAAATATGTTATTCAGTCATCTCTCTAATACAATTATTTAATCCGTCATTTTTAATTTATAATATGTTTATCTTAACATTCTCATTTCTATAATTCATTTTGCTATGCTTTTTGTTCTCCGCCTAACCCATATAGCTTAGTTGGTATGCACTCGGGACTAAAAATTTGGTGTACTTTTCTATCAATTTCAATATACATGAGCATCATTTTAGAAGATCGATGCTTATTCCATTTAGACAAATACAGAATAAAACTTACTGCAATTACTAGCAAGAATCTTGCTAGAAGATAATAAAAAAGGTAAATATAAATGAATAATTAGGGAAGCCATTTATGGTTCCTTACCAAGCAAAGAATAGGACGGGAATTCTCAGAGTAGAAGGTCGTGCTTGCCACCAAGTTATTTGGATTTAAATCCTGTGAGCAAAAATCAAATTTACCTGTTCGGTAAAGAGAAAATAATAGGTGAATGAAAAATGATATTTTAACTTACCAGACCTTGAGATATCCCCAAATGCAGGCTTGCGAACAGGTTTGCCAATTCAGGAAGAGACAAGGGTTTCACACCCCTAACCTGCTCAAGGTCAAATAACTTTTAAAATTCCATTCAACCTCCCCAATGCATATTTTCATCCAGAATACGTATTGATTCCAAGCGGATCTCTTAGTATAAATTCTTCTCCAACTGAGGTAAATAATAAAAAAGCCATACATACATCTTCGCATACACTCTACTTTAGTGGCCCTAGTTTGATATTCTTTCACGTTTTGTTTGTCTAAAGTGTTTCTACCTCAGTTTAACATGTGCATTAAGGCTTGAAGCCTAAAAATTCTCTGAAAAAAAAAAAATTCTTCATAATAAATAACAAACGAATTTTAAATCTGGAGTATGTATAGGGATGCCTCCAGAAAACTATAGATGGTCCCCTACAGAAGTGTAAGCCATGATCACCAGAAACTTACCACTTCCTGAAGCTTCATGGGTGGTCCAGGAATTGATTTCCAATATGGAAAAAACTCCTCCGCCGAGACTGAAATGGGCTGTAAAAATTTGTTTAACGCTACTGGAAGTCGTAGTTTAACATTAACCTGAAAAGTGTGAGAAAGTTATGAGAAACTGTCGGGGGGCTTCAATCCCAAAAGCAGGGAATGTAGGGAGATTACCATCGTAGTTCCAAATCTATAACCAAAATCAAGCACTGGCACGTCTCTGCTCGCTTGAAGATTAACAACATCAAGTGGACATTGTACCTAGAGGTAATATACAGAAAATTAAGATGCAATAATAATCAAAACTAAATGAGCATAACCAATTTGACATCAGCTGAATTCCACCTGTGCTCTGGGAGGAATTGTCTCAGGTACTAGAGAAAGCTCCAGTTTTAAATGGCGTGGCGGCAGTATTAAAGCTTGAACAGAAGTTAGTGGAGAGGTGTTCTTGTTACCCAAGAAAAGTACGAGCCGGCCATGGAAGGCTTTCCATTCAGCCTTAACGCCAATCTTAAATACAATAAAAATCACTAGTTAACAGCAACAAATATAATGTATCAATTCAAATGCAAATCATAATAAAGCCCAAACAATGACGTATCGTTCTGCCCTATAAAAAAAATGGATTTAATTTCATTATAGTGAAGAAGTTGCAGGGCTGCAAACCTGAATGTGGGGATCCTCATACAGCACTCCACTATCTTTTAAGCACAAAGCACTGAACCTTTCGGCAATATTGACAGTAGGCTGCAAATATAGGAAGGAGTTACTCCAAATGCACGTAGAACCATGTAACGGACTAGATACAATTTCCTACTAATAAATAAACACAAAGTAAATAGTTTCAAGGCAAATTCAATAACAGAAGAGGTACCACAGCATTTAAGATAGAAAGCTTTCCAATATGTGATGTGCTGAAATAATCCTAAATCTGTGGCTAACACATTTTCATCTACACAACAATCAAACAAACTTTGGAGAAATTTCTATATATATGATAATACAACAATCCATACAACTTTCTATCTAAAACAATCCAACTCACCAGACAACAACAATTAAATTTATATTGCGTGGTTAATAAGGATTCGACTTGTGTTAAGAAAGTCAGAGGCATACCTAAAAGAACACGTGCATATTGTAAAAAAAAAAAATGATTTTAATCTATTAGAATTAAGTGAAAATATGACACTCAATGCAATGCAATGGAGAAAAAGGATTCATGTAGCCGACTCCACTTAGTGAGATAAACGCTTGTTGTTATTGTTGGTGGTGGTGGAAGTTAATCAAGGAATCTATACTAAAAGACTACTTTTCAGATTTACTTCCTAAACTAGTTTCTACACCTATTTATGACAACTTGTAATTATCTTTTTCATATAGAACAAGTAAAAATTCAGGTATATAAAATCTCTCATTTTTACTCTTTTCTCTCTCTGATCATAAGATGGTACCCGAGGCATTAAGGTCCTACTCCTTGTGAGAAAAGTCCTTTCATTAACAATTAAAATCAGTCTTCATTCAACGAGAGTGACAAAATTTATGTAAAGAATCCTTCTGGAAAGAAGACGGTAGTATCTGTCATGAAAAAGACATTGATTAAGGTTGTACCAACTTTAACATTGAATATAAACCTCAAAAATAAAAAATTTCGATCAAAGATATGAAAAATGCATGATGAAATATTGGACTGAAAAACTCCAGAAAAGGTCAACTTGCAACAGCTCTCTCGTTCCTATTTTAGGAATTTGAACAGCAAATCCAAACAATAATCTATTCTCCTAGTAAAAGCTTATTCTGAAGCATCACTAGAATAAACTTAATAGCCTGAAAAGATAAATTCTCAAATCCACAAATGAGATGAAAGCTACGACTTGGACTAGGAAGTTTAAAATCATATGATAAGAGACAAAAATGTCTTCGACAATTACATCCAATGTCCAATGTAATAAAAATAATAAAATCTGGATTGCATTTGGGTAAACATAAAAAATAGTTAGGATAGATTATGCCATTCTCTCAAAAGATCTGATACTCTATAAATTTAGTTTCTAAACTAGACAGCTATTTACTATCAATCAAGCAAGCCACTAAAGACTCAATTCTGCTTGCAAATTTCACAACTAATCTGTCACCTGACTGGCCTGTACTCAAGGAAGGAGGATTGGCTACACAGAGATGTATTCAAAACTTCAGACAAATTCCTCAAGTAATTAAGGTATGGGCTAAAACTACAGATTCTACATTCACTCAAACCATAATTTAAACCATAATTTCAAATTTAAAACACAACTTAATGTCCATCTTTGGCACCATCGCGTAGAAAACCCAAATTTACTTGTCTTAAAAATTAATTATATTTCTATTCATCAACAAAAATTAAGAAAAAAATATAAAGTTTAGAATGAAATTTGCTATATGGAAATACATTCATAATTTCTATACTTATGAAACCTACAAGCCTTCACAACTTTCTCTTAGTCAACAATGTCGTGAAAGGACCATTTCAAGTCAAAAATTCCTCTAGAGCTTATATGATTTATTTCTTCGCAATAATGATTTGTATCTCAATGAGGTTTTCATAATGAAAGAAATATCCAAGGAAAACTTTTAAATATTCCAATAAGATAATCTGTATTCAATTTCAGTTAAAATTTCAAGTCCTAAAAACAAGAAGCAACAAAATACTCGGACCAATCTTGAAAAATTATCTCCTCCAAGACCGAATTATCCATTAAAGCTCCATTGTTGGCACCCCTCAATGACATGTGGCTGCCCAGAGAAGACTAGAGATAAGTCCCTAATGTTTTCCCCAAATGTTCCCAAGTAAAAGTTGTCCAAGTAGCTTCATATCTCCTATTCTTCTTAATAAAATACCCTGCATAATACTTAAATTTCAGAAATGCCCAAGTAGTTATAAACCTCCAATATATGAGGTCATTATGACTTTTGACTCGACTAACTCACACTTTAGCATGAGCAGTTCAAATTCAACCGGATACTCTTCTACTTATAAATCATTTTGCTACAAATTATGGATCCTCAAGAAGACATCTTGGTAAAAGTGCGAAGAAAGATATATTGGTTGCATCTCCCTCTTCTTCCTAATCCATATTCATGATGTTTGAGCTTCAAATTCTCTCATCATAAGAAACACCACCTTCTGTAAGTTAATAGTGACTAATATAACCCTTCAGTCATTTGTCTTTGTACTAAAAAAATCATTTCCACTATTTGAAGTCATCAAACGAATCATCTGGATCCATATGTCCATCAAAATTCAACAAATCAATCTTCACCCCAAAATCAATCTTTTCTGCTTTACTCAATCACAAATCAACGAGACATTGACCCGTCATCCATGAAGCGTCTAGGTGAAAGAAATTTCTTCCTCTTTTCTCCCAGGTAGGTCACCATTTTGGCTTTGAGTGGTTCCCATCATAATGCCTTCTCTCAAAATCAGTGAGCCTACACAACAATTGATTGATTTCTCGTTGCATATCCTCCATGATCAGCTCCTCAACTTTGCTTTATGGATTTCTCCTTAGAGGCATAGCAATTTGTTTCTCCTTGGTGTTTCAGTTAAAAATAGATTTTGGGATCTAATGTAAGAAAAAATGAAGCTTATTAGGGTTGTCGGGGAGGTTTTGGTGGAAGGATTTTGGACTGGAATTTGGAAGTGGATGCGAAGGGTATTAAATTTCTAAGAGAATATACAGGTTTAAGTGGCTCTAATACCAAATGACATCGATGTAGAATTTACATGACGATGGTGTTGGTTAGAAGATCTAGGAATGTCTTTAAATATGAAGTATGATCAAAACAATATAAAATTTGGTCCTGAAAGAATCACTAAGGAGATCCCGCATTTAGAGGCTCGTTTACTCCGAAATTGAGACAGAAATGGAATTGTAATGTTGGGATTTTGGATAGAAATAGGTGATATCTTAGTAAATAAATTAACACCTTCGACAACGAGCGAATCCTCATATGCCCCGAAGGATAGATTATTAAGAGCTATACTTGACATTCAGGTATCCACATCAAAAGAAACTTCTCTAAGACTACCCATAGCGGGAAGGGGTCGAGTTATTCATGTGAGATGGACCTATAGAAGAGACAATTAGAACAATCAGGGGATTTTTTTTTGTTGGATGGAAACAAGCTAAAAAATTGAAGGTTGGCGACTGGAACAATGGGAGGATTTGATGCACCTGCGTTATATCAAGATCCAAATTTAACACTTGAAAAAGACTGCTCTAGGCCTCCAATTAGAGAGAGAATACAAAAAAAAACCCTCCAAAATATCCTAAACTAAAGCAAAAGTTTAACCACAGGTTGGAAGCAAAGTATTAATACTAACAGAGCAAAATAACCCTGATATTATTCCTTAGTAATAAAAGAGTCGTATGGGTTAGGTAGCCCCTCGAAGGAGAAATAGACTTGAACCGGCCAAGTTATGAACCAATAGGTCGATTATGTTTGGTTATGCCCAGACAATGCGTGGATGTCAGCATCTCCTAGCACATGGGTGTTCGCTAGGTGTGAATAATTTTAGAGGTCAAATCATGTAAAAATATTTTATGGGTTGTCATGCTTTCTTTTTTTTTCACTAGCACATTACTTTAATTCATCATTTATTATTACAAGTAATTTCATTTATGCTCACTTGTTTTAAATTGCTTATTAAACAATTCACCCCCTTTTACTATGCAATTCCACTTACAAAACTAGCTGAAGTAGATTTGAACCGTGACCATTTTTAAGACATTTTAGATTCATTTATGTTTATGGCTGGACTTTTAATATTGTTCTAATTTGAATTAATTTATTAAGTGTTATCTTCTGTTATTTTAGATTAAGTTTAAATTTAAAATATGAAAAAAAATTAGATCAGAATAGATTGTACACAATAAGAAGTTGAATTACTATTGATTGAATGAAATTTCTTGAGGCCGACTGAGTGGAGTAAGCCAAACAGGGCAATGTATCAGATATAGAACTTCAATGGGTCTTTGAAGCAAATCGAGCGTTACTAGTTAATAATTCTTAGATATTTGGAGAAGTCAAGCAAAACGTGTCATAAGCCAAACAGACCAGTGTATCTTGATACATAACTTCAAGAAGAATACTGTATTGAAAAATCAAAATGGCTACACTATTTCAAGCTAAACGAAAGGGATGCTTTCTCTACCCCATGCAAACAAAACAGGTAGAATTTCAAACACGTTACAAGATAATCCTTATTATTCAAATTTATCAGTACTCTGCATACATACTAATATAATATATTCAGACAAGTCCCTAGTCACTTCTATTATGTGATTTCACATAGTAGACGGATAAATGTTTGTCTGTGCGTGTTTTTAGATATGTAGCATTGAAATGCATGTATGGACTAAGAAAATATTTACTCAACATATACCATGTTGACAGATCACAAGTTATATGTTCACCTATCTCTCTGTTAAAATCAGTAGTAGTCAGCATCACCGCTTCAAGTACATCCTTCACAGGCATGTGCCACATGTCCATACTTATAGGCAAGAACGTTTGAAAATACCTCAAGCATGCATGCTAGAAGGATATCTTTCAAAAATTTTCAATGAATTAAAGTCACTGGATTCATTTTCTAAATAAATTGAAGTTGTTACTGAAACACATATTTTAAATTGAAATCATAAGCAGAGTAATTTTTAATGCTTGGTAATGAGTAGAAAATAACCATGAAATAAGTAAAAAGAGCTGCAGAAAAGTTGAAAAGATCACAACTTCAAGTGACAGAATTATTGACACCTGAACCGAGCTGGGCTGATCATCGAGAGGAGCTAATGCTAAAGCATCTGGAGAACTGGGATTAGCTTCTATCCCTTGACTTTGTTTTTCTGGAATAAGAGCACTTGGTGGACCTTCTATGGCCAGTGGACCCAATAGATCACCAAGGAGGTCTGGTGATGGAACTGATTCTGTATCCACCTTGCTGACTGTATCATACGCTTCAGTTCTCCCTTGATCAAAAGAGCTAGCCTCCTGCATATCTTAATTGATTCCCTACATAAGTATAATTTCAATCAATCAAATTTCAATGAACGCATAATAATAAGCAGTCATATTACCATGTTTTGGCTAGGAATTTTGACAAGGTTAAGCTGACCAACTGGGATTGAACCATTTGCAGGGAGTTGGTCAGTCACAACCAAGGCACTAGATGTTTGCTGCTGACTCCGCAATTTTATGGCACTTTGCTCCGCAGTGTCTGCTTCAACATCTTCTGCCTTTCTCAGCAACGCAGACTAGCAAAAATAGGGAATACCAATTTAAAAATTTTGAATAAAGCCTAATCATTGATTTTAAACACAAGGACAGTGCAGTCCTAACTTATAGGCCAAATTAAATTGCAACTATTAAAACAAACAAAATACAACGAATTTTTCATACTTGGCGTTCAGGGAATTTTGGCATTTCAGCTAATACATCCATTAAAGCTGCTCCTTTTTTACTTAAGGCAAAATATTCAACGGCTCTTTGTTGTATCTCAACATCAACATAGCTCTCATATCTGATATAGATACATATTGTTAAAATTCAATTTCAGAATAAAGTTACAATTTATAATTCAATAATCAGCAACGAAAAGGGCAACTCTCACTTTCTAAATATGGTCCAAATTTGCTCTTGCAATTCAAGATCAGGGGGTTGAGTATGCAATAACATCTTGGCATATGAAGAAAGCAGAATAGCAACAGTAGGCGGCCTAAAGTAATTCAGTTGTAGATGCATCAGATTAGTGTTCATTAAAAATACGAGCATGGAATACAGAGATATGTTGATTTTTTATTTTTATTTCTTACGATACTGTGGGAAGCTTTTCATTAATGACAGAAAAGAGCTCCTTGGGGTTGCAGCCTGGTCTTCTAGCCAAAAGATGCCCATACTCCCCCAGAAGGTAAGAACCGACCTGCCAAAAAGATTGGTATAGAAAATCAGCTTTCCATAAATTATCACAGCTATAGTAACTCAGACTAAAAAGCACAAAACATAATATGAAGATCATGAAGCTATCATCAGCTTAATTAGGTCATTGTAGAAGACATTCTTTAAAGTATTATTAACTCATCACTACGATCAAATTTGGTTCAAAGAAGACTGGTTACAAGGTAAGAAACAATGACTAAACTAATAGGTTAAACAATCTTGCAACTGTAAGGTTATAGAAGAACTTCATTTATTCATGTTAATGTTCAGTTTACATTTCCTGGTTCCATAAAGTGTCCGCTGAAGTGTTGCACTCAAGAAGTTGGTTTTATGTGTGTGTATCAAATTCAACTATAGAGGCTGCAAAATCTATAAACTTCCATTATGTTGCTGGTTATTACAAGAAATCAGTTCAAACTGGAAAGGTACAAGATCATTACAAGTGTCATCAAAGTAGCAGTTGCATGAATATTCAATAAGTATTTTCAAATTCAATTTGAGAGGTCACAAACCGACTCCTTCAGCCAGCTAAGCATAATGAAAAAAAAAGGAAAATCTCAAAGAAGTATGAATAAAGGGGGGACAATTACATGATAAGGGCAATTTCACATTAAATTTTGGAAGAATACAAAACTCATTCATGAAAGAATAATTAATGTAATTTCAGTTTTTTAGCATTTGAATGTCATCAAGAAATTTAAAAATATTTTAAAGGTAACATTAAAATTTTTCTCAAAATTTATACCCAATTTTTGCACATCAAGAAAATAAAAAAAATTTTTAAATAAAATTCTATATTTTATTCCAATCATTTTCACATATATACATACAGACATAAGAATATAAGTTATAGAATGTTATTAATTAATTGTTTAAGTAAATAATTAAAACCAAAATTTCAATTAATATAATTGTTCACTAAAGTTAATGTTCATTCATTTTAACATCATCCACTGTAGCATGCAACAGTGGATCTCCATTAAAATTTGAAACAATTGGGATTATTTAATAATGATCTTAACGTGTGTGTGCCTGTGTGTGTCTGTGTGTATTAACTTATATAATCAAATAAGTAGCACATTTCATTCTATTTCCCCTCAATTTTCTCATAACCTACAGCAGGAGCAAAAAGGAGGAAGGAGAAAAAGAAGAAAAAGAGAAGAAGTAAAGGTCTAATTTTTGAATTTCTTGCAATGATTCAAGTTCAATTTTGAGTTTGTTGGCTTAAAGTCATTAGATTAAAATTCAGTAAATCGAGGAAATAGTAGCTTATATAGGCTGTCCCGAAAGAATGAAATTGTGAAGCAAAAGAAAAAAGAAAATGTCCTGAGACGAATTATATAATTGTGATGAGATACTCAACCTTTGATATAAGCATCAAACTATTCCTAAGTTTAATGTTTATGAATTCCTGCAACCGTATTGAATTGTTATATATATGTTTGTAGATTTTTTTTATATGACCACATATTCAAATAAATTCATGATATTTCTGGTTAACCCAAGTTTTAAGATTGTTCAATAAAACATGATACATAATTAAGTACACTAAAGTTTGACTTCTATATATCATGCTTTATCTGCGATGCACATTATATAAAATTGACGGGCAATAAGTGCATAGCAATACTAAATATTTTTCAAGGTTTTATGAAAATAATGCAAAAATAAGATGAATTCTTTGGAAGGTTATGATATATGAAATAGATTGATAAAGGAAGATGACTTGCAAGTGAAATAAAAATTTTGACAATGAGCCCAATAAGGGCCAAAAATCGGTTTCCAACTCCTGATGATAGAAAATTGAAACTGTTCAACCTTTCATTGAGAGACAATTAACTCTAAACCCTATCAGAGGTTATTATAGATGACATAAGATGGCCAAATGATATCAATGAACCAAAATTTATACAATCATTATCAACATTTATAAAAGTATTTCATAAAAATGAGAAAGAAAATGAAAGTAGAACAAGAAAATTGACATCAGATTTTGCTAGCTTAATGCATTTATATAATATGACACTTAACAACCATAGTTTAATTTCTTGCAAATACTCATGTCTATTCCTTCCGATTGAGCCTTTTACTCAGTTAACTATTAAAGCATGCCCTGATTTAACATTATTGTATTGAGTTAGCAATATCCATGAGCATTAAAGATCATATTAATTCAAATGATTAGCATGACAAATTGTCTTTCCTTATATATTTGAATCGTACATTAGAAATATTTATGTCATTGAGCTTTTAGTTCATCAGATATTATAACTATTATTTTAGGCAAGATAAGAGGCGAGTTGGGGCGTAGACACTTTACCCAATTTTAGCTTCATTATAGAGTTTTGGTTGTCTCATAAAGGAAAGATACATATGTTGTAAATTAAAGATTTGGGGTATGTATCAATTATAAAAGGAGCATATTATAATTTATGGAGTCAATTTTGATAATTTAAATTGTACGTGCCTCCATATTAATGATTATGATGGATCTTTTATTTAAAAATTTAACGAATAATTTGTAATGAACTAGAAATACTATGTTTTTACTCAATTGATCTAGATTGGTTAATATTTGGATAAATGCAGGTGAAAATTATGTGTGACTGGATTGTATGTCTCTATTACATCTCTGTTTGATTGGAAGGATCAATATAGAAAGTGACACTTGTATGCGTACTTGAATAGCTTGAATTTCGCACCAACCAGAGTCTTGTAACCTCATTGTATCTTTCCTATCTCCTACTTTCCCTCAACTCAAAACATGGTCCTCCATTTAAATTGAGCTTGATTTTCTCTCTCCATGGCATTACAACGATTTTGAAAAATCCTCTTGCTTTCATAATCAGCCACTATCATACTATATCTTCTCCTCGCACCTCTTGGCCTTCCCACACCAAAACCAAACCATAGCCACCCATTTTTCTAATTTTGCACAAAAGCATCATCCGCACACAAAGGATATCAAAGCCATGAACATAATTTCTTCATTGCCCAAGTTTCAAACCCGACACCATACTCCATAAATTGTAATGAGACAATATTTTTAGATGCAAGTAGACAATATATCCTCAAGTTTCATTTTGGATCTAAAACTTATAACAAGAGTTTTAATTAAGTTAAAATAATAAATAAAAAATACAGTCAGTCCAAGAAATCACACCCAAAACACACAAAAAAAACTTTCCTAACAACATGTTATTTATTTGTAATAGTTCTCCTAAAACCGGATTTATAATTGTTGATATTATGAAGCTTTCCATCTAATATGATCAATTACATTCAATATAAAAAGAAACTAGAGTCGTGGATGCATATACTACAAGATATGTAAAGATGACAAAGTATTAGTTTCCCATATAAGCTAGAAGCTTATCATCACTATCGACATTTGTATCATCTCAATTATTTAAATTGGCTCACAAAAATCATTTTTTAACATTTTCGCAATTTTAAGAGCTAGCTAGATTTATCAAGAATCTATAACAATTAGTATTATTTAGCTATTATCTATTGGGCAATTCAGAATTCAAATATCGCAAGAACATAAATGGAAGGAATGGAAAAAATAAACACCTTGACCATTGTCTCATGCAAAGCCGGTTTGTCAAGATAAACTCTTGCCTTCGCGGCTGCATATGGCTGAAAAATATGAAAAAAAAGCATGCTTGACAAAGTGTGAAAAGAACCAATGCTCTACAATTACCAGGTGCACTCAAGAAGAAATATTGTATACCTGTAAATCTTCATTATTTGTGACAAATTGGACCACCCGATACCATATGTCATCACTGACAAAGTCTCCTGCTTTGTCAATGAGCTGAAGTATAACATCAACATACCTATAAATAATAAAATGCCATGTAAGGAAAAAAAGAGAGGACTCTGTCCAGATAAAACATTACTAGAGAAATTGGAGATGATAATAATTAAAGCAGGTTTATAATTAATTAAAAATTCGACTACATATGATCATATGTAGTGATAGTTGGTCTATCTATATCTATATTTATCTATCTAATATGATGCATGGGCCATTTGCAATTGGATAGGCTGACTCAAATCAGCACAAGTTCCGCAATATATAAATCAAGTTGCACTTTTGGCATAACTGCAACAAAATCCTTGAGAAACAGAGGTTCAAACCCACAAATTTCCAAGTCCGATTCTCTTTTGTATGAATAGCACGAGTAGCACAGAAGAGAAAAACCTATAGGAGAACTATCATAGCATCAAAAAGCTACTTGAGGACCTACCAAGATAGATTTGGAGCAAATTTTTCAGCCAGAATAGCAGCCTTAAGTGCCAACTCCTCACGCATCGCAAATTCTGCAGTGCTGAGATACTGAAAATAGAATCATTGGAGGTTTCATGTCATATACAATCCTTTTTATAACAGAACGAACAACTTGACTAGGCTAGTAAAACAGAAGACAATGCTAGCTCAAGTGTACCTGCAATAACTCCTCGACAATATCCTTTGCATTAGTGATATCACACATACCATATAGTAAATCAAGTGATCGCCTTCTTATGCTGCATACAAAAAAGAAAAATGAAACAAGATGAATTCTATAGCTAATAAATAAAAGTGTCTAAATAATTATTATTGGAATCTTAAGAATCTAATGAAGAAAAGAAAAGGAATAGGTAACGTGTGAAAAGGGACAACATTTGAATGCAAGTTATATTCCGTAAATAGGAAACTCAGAAAATCAATTTATATGCCAATGCCGTAAGAAAATCAAATAGAATAATTTTCATTTCAACGGGTAAGCTCATAAGAAAAAGAGAGAATACGCATCAAGATGTTACATTTGGAAGTAGAGAAGACAAATAGAAAGTGTCAAAAAATTATCCCAATTAATAAATAATATACAATAGCGGAGGACAAGGGTAATACTTTTAACAAATAAGACCTTCGCAGTTTTAATCCAATCATTACATGACAATGAAAAGAGCCATTCATAGAAGAAAAAACAAGAAGTCTTTCGAGTTTCGAAGTAAGCATGTGAAATGAATTCTTAAAATCATAATTTAATGGAAAACATTCAAATACAACACTTCGAAGAACAATAGGGTTAAAAAAGACAGCATATTTCATCAGAAAAAAAACACTAATATGCAATAATCAAATGCAGAAAAAAAGGGGCACTTACATACATAGCACAAAATTCTTATGTATTTACATAACTCACACTTAAACTTTCATATTTACAGACATAACATTCAAATCTATAATATCACATTAAAAAATAGTATTATTACACCGTTTAAAAGTTAAATACACATTTTCATGCAGAGGTTTAAAATATCAAACTGCTATGCATGCAAACATGAAAGTTTAGGTGTGAGAAATGTGAACACATAATTGTGTGCTAAATATGTGTAAAGTTTCCTACAACAAAAGTGTAAAAAACATATTATATCAGGTGAGTGCGTGCCAGGATCAAGTGAACCAACCTAAGGATCTGGTTTATCTTTTTTTTTAAGAAGGTGAAGAGGCAAGAACGGGAGAAAGACTAAGCAAGTGAGGGAGTGAGATCAAGAGGTAGAAGAGTCAGAAGTGACATGTGAGCAAGCAAGGTAGCAAAGGCATGAGGACAAGGCGAGCTGACATCAACGTGACGGATGAGTGCATGGGTTGAAAGAATGTGGGGCTTCGAGCAAGTGTCCTTTCATAATTTTTTCACCAATTGAATCAAAAAGATAGAAATGATTTGTAATATTAATTAATCATACATTTGTTTGTTTTACAAGTTGCTAATTATAAATATAGTCAAAATAATGACATTATTTTTAAAAATTACTATAAGTTGGATTAAGTAAATAGAAATCAAATTTAAAGAAAATGGATATTTCAAGAGGCTATATAATATAGGTATTTTATTCTCAGTATAAGATTCAGTTTATAGGAATAAATACTTGAAAAAACAAGTTTATAAAAATAAATACCTGAAAAAACAAGGATGATGTAGAGGAATAATAACACGCATCTCAAAAAGTGGGTAGTCATTTTTAAATGATAGTGACACTGTTGTTTCCTCTAAACTAAATACATCAAGTGATATTACAATCAACCAATCAAATAAAACAAAAACAACAGCAACCTTTATCCCAGTAAGTGGGGCCGGCTACATGAATCCTTTTCTCCATTGCGTCCTATTGAGTGTCATATTTTCATTTAATTATAATAATTTAGATCATTTTTTAATACAATATGCCAACGCCTTTCTAGGTCTACCTCTGCCTTTCTTAACATAAGTCGAATCTACAACATCTACTCTCCTAATCGGATAATTAGATGGCCGATATTTAATGTGACCAAATTATCTAAGACGACTCTATCTAATTTTGTCCTCCACTAGAGCTACACCAACTCTATCACGGATATATTCATTTCGCATTTTGTCTCTAAGTGCAAATTTAGTATGGCTCTACCTTCTTCATTAATCATTCTAAAACTGCAGCCACCACGAATATTTCTAAAATTTTCTACCACTCTACCTACTTATCCATTTAAATGTCCTTCAATAAAAAATCTTTCTTCAAGAGGTATCATTTGTATTAAGTCTTCTAAATCATTCCAGAATTTATTCTTAGAACCTTTATAGCCTATATTTAAACCTACTTCAAAATAATGCTTATAATATTAAAAATCTTAGTATCACAACAATCTTAAGGTTATAATTCTATCATCAATTTTATTAATTTTTATAACATTATCCTTTAAAAATTTATCTATAATTAATACTTATATCATTTCTAGTATAACACTTACCTGAATACCAAAATTTAAAACCTAAGTTATCAATCTCCTTCGTTTTTTCTCCAACCCGTTTAGTTTCTTAAATACATAAAATATTTATCTTTCTATGAATCATAATATCAACTAATTTCATTAATTTACCTGTGAGAGTGCCTATATTTCAAGATTTTATCCTAATATTAGTTTCATATACTAACTTATTTACCTGCATCCGTCCGTACTATGAAAACCCTTGCTTATTTTACACTACACTCGGGAGCTGATGCAGAGGCCTTTGCACACTTTTCACTGTATTCAGGTCATACAACGCGTTGCTTCAAAGGGACGTCTTAGCATTTACACAATGATCAAAAGGATTCATGTCATGATTTTTCGACAAATTTTATACTGGTTGTCGACTACTTAACGTGACCCTCTACTTTTTACATATGGGGCTTCGGACCCGACAATGACAATTTTATCATCAACCAATCAAATGTTATTGCAATTTACTTATGATATAATTTTTTTATCCTGAATGTACTGATGATCTTATTGAAATGAATGATATAAGCAAAATATCAAATATAAATTATTCATCTTAGCCAATGTTTGCCAATGAAAAGATATTGAATGACACCGAGAATGCACATAAATTAATATATTTAGAAATGTTTAAATGTATATAGACTAGTGGAGTTCTTACCTTTTAATTATAAGTTTGAAAAGGGATAATTGTTCCTAAAGTGTCTTAGATGATATAATTAAAAAAAGTTTTTGTGATGGGTGTATTATATAAAAATGAGACAAATAAGATTAATTTTTTTTACTCATGTTATTATTGCACAAAAGAATATTTCAAATTATCTTATATTGCAACATTTGGATAGAATTATTCGCCAAACAATTTATATTGATTCCTCTATTTAGCGAGTATACATGTTTTTATGTTTGGATAAGTTATACATAAGATTTATCCACTAGGTTATGATAATTTTTATAAAGATCAATCATTCCTTGTATTTCAAAAAAAACCTTATCTTTATTTCTATCGTATTTCATATTATGGGTAGTTATATAATTAGGCTCCACAAGTAATAAGTGTTACCTATAAATACAAATTCAATGATAATTTGGGGGGCATTGTTGAGATTTATTTTTAGGTTAGACCTAAGACAGGTGGAAATTCTTGTTCTTGGGTTGGATTTCCGGTAAATTTAAGGGGGTGAGGAGAAGAAGGCCATAGTGGGGTCTAAGATCTTGCCATGATTAGTTTATCAAAACTTTTGTCTTTCTTTTATAAAAGCTTATTATATTTATTTTACCGAATTTCATATTATGGGTAAATTTGTAATTAGGCTCTACATGTAAAAAGTGTATCCTATATACACGCATTCCATGAAAATCGGTGGGCCATTGTTGAATTTTATTGTCAGGTTAAAGGGGTGGAAATTCCTGTCCTTGAGTTGGCTTTCCAGTAAATTTAAGAGGGCGATGGGAAGAAGACTATAGTGGGGTCTAATACCTTGCCATGATCAGTTATCTAGTTTTTTAGCTTTCTTTTATGACAGTCAACAAGTTTAAAAACCTCTAATTAGCCAGATCAG